TCTCTCTCTCTCTCTCTCTCTCTCTCTCTCTCTCTCTCTCTCTCTCTCTGTGTGTGTGTGTGTGTGTGTGTGTGTATTTGAGTTTGCTTGCATAGGAATATGGCATGGTACATGTGTGGTCGCAGGACAACTTGAAGGATGCAGTTCTTGCCGTATACCCCAAAAGTTCTGGGTTTCTACCACAGGTCATCAGGATTGGGAGCAAGTGCCTTTATACATGCCAGAGAAACATTTTTCTTTAGGAAGAGAACCACAAAAGCAAAACAATGTTACTAATTTAAGTGTTAATAATTAAAGTGCCCTTTAAACTCTACCAAACATGTGTGTTTGGAGACAAAGCACATGGAGACATATCATTAACTTTGGTTGAAATCATTTAAAGCTCTTAATGAGACTCAGGATAATAATTTAACTGTCGTGTGTGAATTTGTTCATTGTTTTTCAGGCAGCAATGAACCCTACCCCAGTGAGATATGGTTTGAGTTGGGAAGATTTCTTTTATCACCAGGAAAGCAAGAAGATCCGTGTTCTGTCTATGAAGAGACTTTACTATGTGAACTGTGCATCCTCGCTCTGCTAACTGCTGGAGACTTAGAATTAGGAACTAATTTTCTTCTCTTTATTAGTGGAATAAGCAATAGAAATGCCTGGGGTGGGATGGGCTAGAAATACAGCCTGCAGTTTAAGCAATGGTAACAACACATGATGAGGACTTTATGTCTAAAATAGATACACAAAGTCTTGGCTCTCTGTGTCTGTTCCGGGGAAGGCTTTGCAACCACCTTCTGCTGTGGCTGATATTGACCAGCACACCGAGTATGATGGTCTGTAAATGCTTGATCCAGGAAGTGGCACTATTAGGAGGTGTCGCCTTGCGGGAGTAGGTGTGTCACTGTGGGTGTGGGCTTTAGTACCCTGGTCCTATCTGCCTGGAAACCAGTCTTCTAGCAGCCTTCAGATGAACATGTAGAACTCTCAGCTCCTCCTGCACCATGCCTGCCTGGATGTTGTCATGCTCCTGCCTTGATGATACTGGACTGAACCTCTGAACCTGTAAGCCAGCCCCAATTAAATGTTGTCCTTATAAGAGTTGCCTTGGTCATGGTGTCTGTTCACAGCAGTCAAACCCTAACTAAGACACCAAGCTAATGAGGAAATGAGTCAACCTGGGCTTGAGATGACCAGAATGATAAAAAACGAGTTTAACTGCTGGCAGCCATACGAGGAAAGCTGCACCACATGTAGACTCTCACTGAACACTTCTCTCACACACACACTTAACTGGGACGGAGAGTGAAACACACTTTGCTTCTACTCCCCCATGGAACATAACTGAAATGCTCAGAGTTTTAACAAATAAGTTGAAGAGTCAGATTGTATAAGACAACAAAGGTTTCACAGGTTTAAAGTAAAAGGACAGTAAGGAGCCAGTTCGTTAGATGAACCAGACATTTTTGCCTTGAGATCATTGTATGATAATGAAAAATAAGAACTTTTCTTTTGCTGGGCGGTGGTGGCGCACGTCTTTAATCCCAGCACTTGGGAGGCAGAGGCAGGTGGATTTCTGAGTTCGAGGCCAGCCTGGTCTACAGAGTGAGTTCCAGGACAGCCAGGGCTACACAGAGAAACCCTGTCTCGAAAAACCAAAAGAACTTTTCTTTTTAATATCCTGAAATTGTCTGAAAGACAGATCTCAAAGCTCAGGGCCCAAAAAGGACCACCCAAGGATGGCATCTCCAGATGACGGTGGCCCAGTCATGCAACAGTCTCTGAATAGGATCAACAAGATATAAAAAGGCGGAGACATTGGTGATAACTGATGAAAATGTAACATTTATTCTTGGGGAAGATGAGTAGAACTTGTAAGCCTGGAGGCAAACACATTGTTCCGACTAGCTTTATGTCAATTGGAATCAAACTATAATTATCTGAAAGGAAGGAATATCAATTGAGAAAATGTCTCTGCAAAATCCAGCTGTAAGGCATTTTCTTAATAAATGATTGATGGGGAAGGCCCAGTGCATTGTGGGTAGTACCATCCCTAGGCTAGTAATCATGGGTTCTATAAGAAAGCAGGCTGAGCAAGCCATGAGAGGCAAGCCAGTAAGCAGCACCCCTCTGTGGCTTCTGTATTAGTGCCTGCCTTCAGGTTCCTGCCGTCACTGCTTTTGATGATGAGCTGTTTGTCATATGGAACTGTGAGTGAAATAAACCCTTTCCTCCCCATGTTGTTTTGTGCATGATGTTTCATCACGGCTGTGATGATCCTAACCAGGACATACATCAAGGGAGAAAAGGCACAAAGTGGTAATATTAGGGACCAGAAGACAAACGATTGTGCAGATGTAAAATCATGAAAAAATATATTTCGTGAACAAATGTATCAGTAAATCCTAGAAGTTAAATGAAATAGACAAATTCCTTGAAAAAAAAATGCAAGTTGCCTAAGCTTACTAAAAACAGCATGAAAAGCAAACCTCTAGCTACGAAACAAAAGAAACCGAATTTTCAGTTTAAAACTTTTGACTAGATGGAAACTTCAAGCCTAGCTAGCTTTACTGGAGGATTATAGCCATCAACTCAAATCATTCAGAAGATTAAAGAGAGCCTCCCAACTTATTATACTGTGCCTACCTTGTCCTGAGAGCAAACCAGAAAAAGACATTATAAGAAAACTACAATTTTTCACAAACAAGGACATAAGAACATTAAGCAGTATTTTATAAACTGTAATACTGAAAATAACAATACACTGTACTAAATCAACTCTTTAACCCAGAATGCAAGGATGGTTTAATATTGGAAAACTGGCCTGTGTAATGCACTATATTCATAACCTAGTATCTCGGAAGCAGAAAAATTGGTTGACAAAATTCATCCCCCATGTCTGATCAAGTGTGTAAATGAGAAGGAGCTGCCTGGTGGGCATCTGAGCAGGCAGAACCGACACTGCCTTTCAAAATAGAAGTCTGGGGGACAAGTGTAAGATGAGGATGTCGGCCTCTGTTGTTTCTATGTAACATGCACCAGGGGCTCAACCATCACAGTAAAGCACAACAGAGATGTGCAGCATGCACATTTGAAAATATTATAAAAAATTAGAAATTTAGGCCTACCAAAAATAATAATTTTTGGAGGAGACATTGAAACAGAAAGGCAAGATTTAAAGAAAACATCTGCAAAATACACGTGGGGAAGGACTTAGGTGGCTATGTAGGAAGCGTTCATATCACACTTACAGAAAGGCCAACAACCCAATTTTAAAGACAGGCAGAAGATTTGATCATGTGCCATAAAAGGTCACATAAATGACAGGGAAGGAGAGGAAAGCTCTCGTCTTCATCATCTGAGAGAAAAATCAAAGCTAAAACCACAAAAGTAACACACCCCAGTCCCTGGATTAGCAGGCTTGGCTTTTGGGTTTGGTTTTAAGGTAGCAGCCATACTTCAGCCTCCTCGTGCTAGGATGGCATACTGCAAGTACACTTCACTTCCATTAGCTAAAAACTAAAACCGATCAGACTACACTTAAGGAGGCAGTGGAGGAAAGGAAACTCTGGACATGCTAAGGGAACAGAAGTCGGAAAACAACTTGGCCTGAAAACACGGTAAGTGTACCTGCAGGTATTGACTGGGAGGGGAGCCAGGATGAAAACATATAAAGACTGTGTGTGGGCTCACCATAGCTTGGTAGAAAGATGGACATGACCCAATGCCCTTCAACAGGTGACTTCAACCCAAGAGGCAACCAAGTCCCTTGGCATTAAGAATCAACATAGCAACTTCAATTGATCTTAGAAGAATCTTGCTGAGCGAAACCTCATCTTGAAAGAGAACTTGCATGTGGTCTCACTTACATAAAAATTAAGAGTCTGCATCACCTTTAGTGGCAGAACAGCGTTTCTCTTTGGGGGTGCTCACGAGGAACCGCATAGAGCTCCTGTTCTGAGTGCTGCTCCTGTTCTGGGTGCTGTTTCCCTGGGGGTGGTGCATGTGTATCTGTCACTGTGCATCAACTTGTGTATTTGGGATGTCAACATTTGATATCTCATTAGCTATACTTTAACAGAGCTGTAAAATGGTGTGAGAGCACCTGTGACAAGCACTGTGAGGAAGACCCAGTGCCAGAAGTCACAGAAGCTGCAAAGCTCGCTGCAGGCAGCCAGTTCTTTACCTTATTTTTCACCAAGGGTTTCTCTCTGGAAGTTTTGGAACACTGACTGAATTTTCTACGTGGCTCTGAAAGAAATTGGGAAAATATATTTAAATTAAGTTAAACGGTTTCGTACATGCTTTATGTATTTGTTGCTGAGATAGCCTAGTCTATCTAAACTTAAATTAAGGTCAGCCCTGACCTATGTGTGCTTGTGAGGAAACTTGTGATGTAAATCTGTGTATAATAACGTTACACAAGTTCATTTATGTTTCCAAAAAAAAAGACACTGATTCTATTCCCAGCATAAGATGAAGACAGACCGCAAACTAACCAACCTACCTTCCTTCCTTCCTTCCTTCCTTCCTTCCTTCCTTCCTTCCTTCCTTCCTCCCTTCCTCCCTCCCTCCCTCCCTCCCTCCCTCCCTCCCTTCCTCCCTCCCTTCCTCCATTTTTCCCCCCTGTCCTATCTCGTTCTCGTTCTCACACCACAACCCAGGCTGACCTGGGAACCTCCTGACTCAGCTTCCCAAGTGACTAGAACTGCAGGTCTCTTCCAGCCCTGGCTACTCCAGGATTTCTTGATTCAGTTAAACTGACTGTAAAGCAGAGACTTACCGCATGTTTCTTATGCATGTCCCTGTCACTCCTGCTTCATAGACAATGTGTATGTTTTTTGTTTGCCCCAAAGACAGAAGATTTGCCCTGCACTATAGTTGCTTTCTTTATTTGTCTCTCTTCTTCCAACCCTATCGCTCACCTGTGAGTGATCTAACTAAATCACCCACAGCTTTGCTTGGCCTCCTTTCTACTGACCGAAGATAATGTCTCTTCTGAGCAAAGCCATAGTTACGCACCATTTTTTCAAAGTAAACTTTTTGTGAACAATTCCCATAGTAACTAAATTCATCAGTTCTGTCTGAAGAAAGATTGTTACCTTCTGGTAACAGCAGTGTTCTGGTTGGTGACTATGTTCAGCTAATGCCCCCTTGCTGGAAACAAACTACTTGGTTTTAAGACAAAATTTAAGTAATATAAGGAACTGAACATGTGTAATTACATTGGAAGGACTGCGGAAGGACCTTGTCTTGAGATCTAAAAATCAGATTGACAGCCCAACCAACCTAGAATCACCTAGGAAGTCTCAGTAAGGAATTTTCTAGAGCAGGTTGACTTGTGAGCATGCCTATGAGGCATTGTCTTAACGATGTAAAATGACCAAGCCTGAAAGGGGGCAGAACCATTCCCTGGTTTGGTCACTGAACTCAATCATATTAAGAAGGCTAACTGATTTATTTCTATTCCAACGATCAACCTGTCTGTCTCCGTACCAATACCATGCAGTTTTTATCACTACTGCTCTGTAGTACAGCTTGAGGTCAGGGACAGTGATTTCTCCCCAGAAATTCTTTTATTGTTAAGAATTGTGTTTCTCTATCCTGGGATTTTTGTTTTTCCATATGAAATTGATAATTGCTTTTTCCATGTCTGTGAAGAATTTTGTTGGAATTTTGGCGGGGAATTGCATTGAATCTGTAGATTGCTTTTGGTAGGATGGCCATTTTTGCTATGTTAATCCTACCAATCCATGAGCATGGGAGATCTCTCCATTTTCTGAGGTCTTCTTCAATTTCTTTTTTTTTAGAGACTTGAAGGTCTTGTCATACAGATCTTTTACTTGTTTGGTTAGAGTTACTGCAAGATATTTTATATTATTTGTGACTATTATGAAGGGTGTTGTTTTCCTATTTTCTTTCATTTGTATAAAGGAAGGCTACTGATATGTTTGAGTTAATTTTATATCCAGCCACTTTGCTGAAGTTGCTTATCAGCTCTCTGGTAGGATTTTTAGGGTTGCTTATGTATACTATCATCAGCAAACACGTACCATCAGCAAATAGTGATACCTTGACTTCTTTGCCAATTTCTGTCTCCTTGATCTCCTTTTGTTGTATTATTGCTCTAGCTAGAACTTTAAGTACTATACTGAATAGATACTGGGAGAGTGGGAGGCCACAAGCAGAAGGACCCAAGTGAGCATGCTTCAATCCCACTTGGGAGGGAGAAGAAACCAATCATGGGAGGCAGAGGGAGAAAGGGACCTGGGTAGGAGAGGAGAAGCAGAGAGGAAAAGGAGAACATGATCAGGTATGCATGGTAGGATGGGTGGGGGTGGGGGAGACAGGAGAGAAGCCCTGAGGGCCAGCAGAATGAATAGAAATATGCAACCTCAGGGAGTGAGAGGTGGAGGGACTCTGTAGAAAGTACCAAAGACATGGGAGGTGAAAGACTCTCAGGACTCAAAGGGAGATACCTTATATGAAATTCCCAACAGTGAGGAGAGTTAACTCATAGAGTCCACCTCCAGTAGAAAGACTGGGCATCAACTGGAGAGATGGGATTGCCATCCCACAGTCAGAAACTCTGACCCCAAATTGTTCCTGTCTAAAAGAACTGAAGAGACAAAATTGGAGAAGAGACTGAGGGAAAGGTAGTCCAGTGACTTGGGATCCATCTCAAGGGAAGGTTCCAAGGCCTGACACTATTACTGATGCTATGGTGTGCTTACAAACAGGAGCCTAGCATGGCTGTCAATGAGAGGCTCAACAAGCAGCTGACTGTGACGGACACAGATACTTACACCCAACCAATGAACTGAAGTCAGGGACCCCTATGGTTGAATTATGGAAAGGCTGGAAGAAGCTGAGGAGGAGGGTGACCCTATAGGAAGACCATCAGCAGTCTCAACTAACCCAGACTCTGAGATCTCTGAGACACTGAGCCACCAACCAGGCAACATACACAAGCTGGTCTGAGCCCTTTGACATACACAACAGAGGACTGCCTGGACTGGCCTCAGTGGGAGAAGATGTACCTAATCCTCAGGAAACTTGAGGCCCAAGGGAATGGGGAGGCCTGGAAGGACATAGTGGACATTCTCTTGGACACAGGGGGAGGAGGAATGGGATGAGGAACTGTGGGAGCTGCAGACCAGGAGGGGGCAATGACTGGACTGTAAAAAATAAAATAAAAGTGATAATAATTAAAAAAAAAAAGGCTAGCTAACTGTTGCCATGGTAAAACTGACTGTGTTAAAGGTCAGAGAGGTGGTGGCTGGGTGGCAGAGCCCTTGATTCTCTTGCAGAGGACCTGGGTTCAGTTCCAGTGTGCAGTGGTGGCTCATAACTCTGTAATTCCAGTTCCAGGGGATTTGATGCCCTCTTCTGACCCACTTCTGGACCTGGCACATGTGCATGCAGGCAAAGTGTTCATACATATAAAACAAAATCAATCCAAAACCAAAAGTTTAGACTGAGCATGTTGCTGATATACTTAAAAGAACTAAAAGAACGTGGAAGCTTCTGATATGTTGATCAGGGAAAGCCATTGCATGCTGGGAACAGCGTGATGGGCCAATCTAGCGGGAGCTTGGAAGACAGGAAGCATCTACTAATTTAACAATTTACCAAAGACCTGACAGTGCACAATGGGCCAGAGGGAAAGATAAGTGTGTCATGAGAACAAAAGGCAATGTCTTCAGGGCATGGATGTACGGAGATGAGAGTCCTGTGGGAGGCTGTATGCGGGTCTCCCTTCCTGCTGTGTTCACTGGACCCACCTTTTGTCTGTTGGGTTTTTAAATCAGTGCTGGCCACACACTTATAACTGATATCTTTGGCTAGTTATTTTTCTCGTCACACTGAACAGCTATCTTAGAGGAGAACAGACGTATTCTGGCTCATGGTTTGAGGTTATACACCCGTCCTCGTCGGAAGGCTTAACAGAGGGAGTATGCGTTAGGGGTCGAGTCGGGAAGCAGAGAAGATGGAGGACGGTGCTCAGCTGGCTTATTTCTTCTTCTCCTATTTCTATTCAGCATGGGATATCCAGTGTGTGCAATGGTGCCATCTACATTCCCCGCTTGCCCACAGTCTCCAGAAACGCCCTCCTCCACACACCCAGAGGTGTGCCTTCTAAATCCAGTTGAGAGCTGACACTTGAAATCAGACATCACACTTACTTTCTTAGAGATTGGGCACTACACTCACCAAATAGTGTTGAGTCTGGCCTGGACTCAATAATAAAAAGAATTAATAACAACAATAGTATATTGTTAACAATAATGTCTTACTAAATTGTGGTTAGAAGAATGTAAATTGTCTATAGTGAATAACCTAGCTCCTAAAGTAACTTGCTGCAGCTATTTAACCAGTCAGCTTGCTTTCCGGTCACTTGCAAGAGGCTTACGAACGCATTGCATTTGTTTATAGGGACTCACCAGAGTGAGACCTTGCAAGCACTTTGTTTGGGACTGGTGACTGTCCTCGGACACTCGGGCTCTCTGGGGATGCTGTGCTGGGTGGGTTACTGCATTTCATTAATGATGTCTCATTCCTCTCTGAAGGGCTAAACTGGTCGCAGCAATACAGCATTCTGGGAAATATGTCATCATCGTTCACAGTGCAGATTGGGATGTTGTTCAAACCTGGAAGAATAGGGGCAACCATTTATTTGTTTGCTGACAAACCTGTTAGGAACACACGCACCACACGCTGTCTCCCAACGTTCTCATGTTTTCCCCCAGCACTTCTGACTAGTCTATTAAACGTTTGTAAACTCCTTGTCAGAGCTGCGCCAGGCTGTGAGCCTCATGGTGGGGGTTTGGCCTCCTCTTTGATTTTTACTGACTGTGGTTAGTACCTACCCCAGTGCCTGGCAGGAAGCTGGGGTCTTTGATGGTTGAACGAATGGCTGCTGGCTAACACCACCAGCCATTTTATTTGGTTACGTACTTCAGACTTTACTAATAGTAACTGTCTATCTTACAGACATTATCATATGTTATTATTATGCTTTAAACACTAGAGCAGTGATTAACCCAGGCACACAGTAAAAAATTGGATGCCAAATTAAATATAGGGAAGCTAACTTACACATGTTCATTGAAACCCCTAATTTATCTTTTAATTTGTTTTTTAAAAAGAAACCATGTAGTGCATGTATTGTGTATGTTGGAGCACCTTCACAGGAGAATAGACCCTCTCTGATCCTATTGTATTTCGTTTCTTTTCTATTATTGGTCCCCCCCTTTTTTTCCACATTCACACACAAATGTGCACGCATGGTAATCTCACATCAGACAGAAATAATATGAAAAAAAATGTATATTCCATCGATTCAAGAGTTAGGAAAGAACTACTTAGAAGGTGTAAAGGAACAAATAGAACAGTGGGGTAGTGGTTTGAGAGTCCTATGAGGCAGGACGTGGCTCACAGTGTGTGGAAGGGCAGTGAACCCATCCTGCAGCTCAGGGGAGGGTTCCAGAACTGAGCTGCAGAGAGACCACGCCCACTATGGGGAGTCAGTTTTCTGCTGCAGAGGTGTAATGGCTCCCTTGTCAGAGAGCCAAGCAAAGGCTCAGTCCTCACTCCCTAGTCTCTGATTGATACTCAGTCTCTAGAGACTGTTGCTGTTGTTTCGGTTCTTTTGTTTTTTGTTTTTTGTTTTTTGTTTTTGTTTTTGTTTTTTTTGGTACAGGCTAACTGTTTCCTTAATGGATGACTATCCCTTAACAATTAGGAGGTTTAAAATGACAGAAATTATTAAGAAAATGCATACTACTTATCCTGGTTTGTTTTTCTGCTGCTGTAAATAAAACACCATAACCAAAAACTTAACCGGAAAAAGGATTTGTTTGGTGTAAAGGTCCACATCAGGGTGGATCATGAAGGGAAGTCAGAGCAGGCGCTCAAGGACGGAGCCTGGAGGCAGGAACCGAAGCAGAAGTTATCTATCCCACGGACATGAGTATCAACTGCTGATTCCTATGGCTCAAGCTAGCTCTTCTCTGTCTGGGAATTTCTTTTTGGCTGAAAGGAGCACACAACAAAACACTAACCCCCACCCCCATGCCTGGCTGATGGAACTCACAAAGAGCTGAAGTCTTTACCTGGAATTGAGAACCCTATAAAAGGGCCCCACTCTCCCTTGTAGCCTCTGTGGCACGGTTACCCTCACTTTCCTGCTTAATTCTGCCTCCTTTGTTTCTTTCGTAGATGTTGCTCCACAAAACACTTCCAAATCAAACTTCTTGACACAAATTCCCAGATTAGTATCCCCAGAGAACCTAATTTGAGAAAAACTTCTCTGGAGGAAAATATAGGGCACTATGCCAAAGCATCACATGACAGTCCAGACTGAAGATATGTGGCCTAGGAAGTCTTTTGAAGTGATGTTTAAACCAATATACGAAAGACAAGAAACAGCGATTAGTGGGGGCGTTTTCTGTCTAGAGAAAGTATGTGTGAAAAGCCAGAACTTGCAAAGGGATTGTCACATCTTCAGTGAACCCAGATACAACTACAAGGTGTGTGCACATAAGGGCGGGGAAATGTGAGGTGAATTGAGGAGACGGGAGACACACCCCAGGATTAGACACCAGCATGTAAACGCTTCTGGGGGGATTCTAGCAGGATGCCTAAATAGCCAAATTGAGACAGTAAGTACGGTTCTTGTGGTGCTCTCATGGAGAACGGGTTAGATGAGGGCAACTGATTAACTGTTCTGTTACCAGCCTCACGGCCTGCCTGACTATGCTCCTCAGTTTCGTCAAAATAAGGAGAGCGGTAACATTAGCAAATATGATTTGCAAGCGGCAGGGAGGCAGCCAGGATGCAGGGTGCTGAAGAGTGGCCCAGGGGCGAGGGTGTGAGAACCCTGAGTGCACACAGACATCTCTTCTGACTGGGATGCAATCTCAGTTTTCTTAACACGCTATGCAGCACATCGTAAGTGTACCGCGCAGCCAGTGACCGATTTCTTCCTCCCACAGGTACTCTCCTCGACAAGCCTACCTTCTGCTCCGTTTGTTGATACTCTTTCCCTTCACTTCCCACGTCATCTACGTAACCACCCGCACGGGCATTGTTGCTACCGGGCCCTGCCTGTGGACTCACACCAAGTGTTTGTTGATAAAATGAATAGATGGATATAAGACTGAATGATTAGCTCGATGATCCATATCCGTGATTTAAACACTATGTTTCTATCAATGACTCTGCAATGTGTATCCTACACTTGCAACTTCTACTTGAGACCAGTCTCAGGCTTCCACTCGGACAGACTGTTAGTGTTGGGTGCCAGGAATGCTGTCTGCCTCACTGATGGCATACGGTGTTTGACTAGAATGTGGTCTTTGTAAGATTGTTGGGTTTTGCTGATACATTTACTACATCAAGAATACAAATTAATCTGGATTGAGACACAAGCCACTGCTGAGTGAAAAAGCTCCACCATCTCCCCTTAGCACCCCTGTTTCACCAGAAGCAGCATATTTTCCTGTCACCTTACGATATAAGGTTAACCTGATGATAGCCTACCTTATGATATAAGGTTAACCTGATAACCTTAGGTAGCAAAGCGAAGAAGCACGGGTTCACATCATGTCTCCTTCATACTTTGTTCCAGCTGGTCACCATGACATTTTTTTATTCCCTGAAATCCTCTCTAGCCTCCCATTCTAGTGTTGCTTAGCTATCATTGTATGGCAGGGACATTCGTGTGGTTTGACAGGATTTGCAACCTCTAAGTCTCTTTATTTCCGGGCTCTGTTCCTTTCCACCAAGAGATGGTTCATTTTTATTATGAAAATGTTCTCACTTTTTTTTAGGAATATAACTCATTTTCATCTAGTGGGGGTCATTATACACTACTCATATATGTCTTTCTTAGTAGGACATGTCTGCCTTCTACTCAAGTTTCCGGATGTTCTTTTCCATGTTGGCACCTTTCCCTTCACCACTCATGTCCGTACACTTAACCACAACCTAGTACTATTGTTATCAGGCTTGCCTGCATTGTCACTCCAGGTCAGCGTTTGCAGAATACACTTATTGAGGAAGCAAGATGAGTCTCAGGGAAGGATAAGAGAGACTAGTGATTACCCACCAGCTGAGGTGGCGTTGGTAGGCAGTGTCCCACAGTCACCTCCTCCGGGATGAACTGGCTGGCTCACTGTATCTAGTGCCAACAGTTCTGTTTGTTTTCTATGTACTTTGTAATCTTGAAAAATCTACCTCTCAAAACCCCATTTCTCGCTACAGCCCATGTATAGGTAGAAAGCACATATGCTTTTATTCTTCAGTATAAGAGAAGATACTACCCATATCTAATTTCCAAGGGCTCGCTACTGAAGGTTAAATAAGGAAATGGGAAAGGAATGAGAGGTGGGAAGGGAGGCAGACAAAGAGGAAGGGAAGAGAGGAAGAAAGGAAGGAGAGATAAAACATATGCAAGGCCCTGGGCTCCTTCCCCACCATATGTACATACGTATGCACATAAATATCCCTCACTAGGGCGTGTGTTCAAATCCCAGTATGGATGTTGTTTGTCAATTTGACTACGTCTAGAATTTAACTAAAACTCAAAAATGGATGGGCACACCTGCGAAGATTTTTTTGTTTGTTGTCTTTGCTGTAGCTGTTTTTGCTTAGTTGGGTCATTTGAATTGTAAAGATACACTTCTAATCTGCATCTTTGAGGTAGGAAGAGGCATGTCTAATCTAGGCCATGTCTAATCTTTCTGCTGGAAGCCTCTGTAAAGGACATGGAAGAAGGAAGCTCTCCCCTTCTGCCTGCTTTGCCCTACCCTTGCTCACAAGTCCGTTTCTTCACTAGCTTTAAATCATATATTTTTTTTATGACTCTGGTGTATACTGAAGACCGGCTGAGACATCCAGCCTCATGGACTGAACACTTACTGGACCTTCCGCTGTTAGACAGCCATGGTTGGATTAGCTGGCCCATAACCTGTAAATCATTCTAATAAATTCCCTTCAGCTAGATAGATAGATAGGTAGATAGGTAGATAGATAGATAGATAGATAGATGATAGATAGATAGATAGATAGATAGATGATAGACAGATAGAAGAAGTCAGATTGGTTGATACATTGTATAAGTTCTGTTACTCTAGAGAATTCTGACTAATACAGGTATGAAAGTAGTTAAGATATTAAAATACTTTTAAGTCATTGCCATCTTGAGCTCTCTAAATGACTTCCCCAGCTCTGAGTTCCTTGGTCATTTCCCTAGGCCCCTATCCCAACACAAGCAATCTATGGACTAAAGATCTATGGGCAAATGTCTACACTACTGGCACTAGGACCTAGCAGCCAGTATCTTAGCACTTGCCTTAGCCAATGGTTAAATGTTTAAAGTAAAAGTTTTAGTTTATGCATGGAAGAGTCAAACATCTGAGCAGCTGAGGCCCCATTACCTTTGATATGGCAAACTCTTCTGGGATGAGGCGTGTGCCTGATGGCAAAGCAGCCTTCGTATCTCTCCGCCATGTGTCTGGCTTTGTACTCTGGGTGAAGAGAAGATGTTGAGGATTTAAGGATAGTAGTCATGGCCTCTTGGTTTCCTCTCTCTGCCATTGCCACAAAAGTTCTTGGGATCTAACTTGATTGGCTTCACTTATAGATGGACTAACAAAATAAACAAGTGAACAAAGACAGACAATGGGTACTTGCTTTGTTGTCAAATCAAACTTTTATAAGCATTCTAGAGCTGAACAGAACATAAGTTCCCCTGGGGGGAGAATCGTAGTCCTAATGAAAAAATGAATCTAAAATTCTATTTTTTTCATTGTGTTTAAGATCACTGTTGTCTTATGAGCAAATTATTTACATGATTAGTATTTATTTTAATGAGTTCATTTAAATTAGGCTTTAAAAATACCATATCTGCAAAAATACTTTAAGAAACTTTCATATTGTATCTGTAATAAATCTAGGTTTTCAAATTCATATCATCCTCCAAATGAATAATGGTAAACAAGAGAGTGACCTCTGACCCCACATGCTCAGCTGGTAAGCTGGATGACATTTGCTAAGTTGTTTGCAGCACTCAGTGATAGCAAATGTTCTTCTATCACTATCATCAGTCACACACCACACGTCTAAAAAAATGGGTGCAATTTTAAATGACATACTGCTCTCGAAATCTAAGACAGACATTTTTGACAGACGTTGTATATTTTCTATGTTATAAAGGAAGCCTTGTTCATCATACCAGAACTGGCAAAGAGACAGTTTTATTGTCATTTATTTTATCTGGTCAGAAGAACATGTAGGACTAAACATGTCCAAATAACAGAACTTGAATGCAGGATGTCATTGAATATGTCTAATTTATTGACATCTTTTGTTTATTCATTTATGTCATAGTAGCGGTGTGTGTGTGTGTGTGTGTGTGTGTGTGTGTGTGTAAGGTTGGGCTCGTGCATGCTGCAGTGTGCATGTGCGGGTAACAGTGGGTTCTTTCCTTCCACCATGGAACAGGGGATCCATCTCATCCAGCAAGTATTTCTACCCACTGAGTCATCTCACCAGCCTATATGGATATCTTTTTATACTATACCAATCTGTTCAAGTTTTTCAAGGTATACTTCTAGACTGCATGATGTACAAATTACCAGCCATGTTACCAGAAAACACTTTCAAGAATCTCATTTTGTGTGTATGTGTTTCAGTTAGGAAGGGAGTCTCAATTGATGGCTTTCCCATATCCAGCTGGCCTGTGGGCATGTTTGTGTGGGATTGTCACAATTGCTCACGTTGTAGAAGGCCCAGCCCTCTGTGGATGGTACCATTTCCTGGTAGGTGGTCCTAGACTGTACAAGAAAGCTGGTACACATTAGTGTTTTCAGGTTTCTATCATTGTAATAAAGCACCATGACTAAATACAGCGTGGGGAGGAAAGGGTTTATTTCAGTTTACACCGCTCAGGTCACACACATTTTAAGAGGACAGTCAGTGCAGTAACTCTAGTAGGGAAGGAAGCTGAAACAAGCCATGGAGGAGTGCTACTTATAGGCTTGGTATTCCAGGCTTACTCAGCCTGATTTTTTTATACATCCTGGGATCACCTGCCCACGGGTGATACCACCCCCCCACCTCCCAGTGACTGGGCTCTCCCACACCAATCACTTCTTAAGGAAACACCCTAGAGACTTGCCCACAGCCTGCTCTTATGGAGGTGTTTTCTCAACTGAGGTTTCTTTCTCTCAGATGATTCTAGCTTGTGTCAAGTCGACATAAAAGTAGCCAGCATAACAGGTCTGTAAGTAAGCTATTAAGCAACACCCTCCATGGCTCTGTTATGATTATTCTGCCTATGAAGTGAGTTCCATGGTTGGAGATAATGCTGTCTGGGATGGCAAGCAGGCCTGCCTCCAAGTTCCTGCTTGAGCTCCTGATCTGGCTTTCCTCAAGGACAGACTCTGAACTCAAAGCCGAAACGGATCTTTCCTTCCCTTATATTGCCTTTGGCCATGGCATTTGTTACAGCTACAGGATGAGACTAGGATGTCATTCTAAAATTATTTTAGGTTAGATAAATTATACTTAAATATTAAATTAGAAAGTATCCTTACTTAAAGATACATAAAGAGTGTACTTTGTTTTAACCCTTTAGGGTACTATCACAAGGAGGATTAATTCGAATCTCTTTGTATAGTCAAACTGTAATATTATTTTACTGATGGATTGATTTTTGAGACAGAGCCTCACTATGTAGCCCAGGCTGGCCTAGAACTCACAATCCTCTTCAGCCTTCTGAGTGCTGGGATCGTAACTGTCTACCACACCAGGCCTATAATCAAACTTTACATTCAGTCTTTCAATGTGGGTCCTCTGGTTCAAACAAGCAAATACATTCATTTTTAATCTACAGTACAGAAGAGGAATTCAAGCTTGCAGGGGTGGGTCAATAAACTAGGAATGAAAATTGGGATCAACACAGAATGGTTAATTGATTTTCTAGGTTCACATTTGTTCATCTACAATCTGTTGGAACTGACTTAAATGTCAACTAGAATATCCAGTTTTTCTCCTTGATGTATCTGCCCCACATGAGTTCTCTTAGGTCAGTTTGAAGGGACATTGTCCAGGAATTTGGGCATGACAAATAAACCAGAAAACAAAACAGCCTCCATTATTCTCATCAAAAGAACCACAGAAGGGTCTGGGACTCATCACACTCTTTCTAAAGAAATGCTGTATGCCGGCCTTGAAAAAGGTCGATCAGATGTCGTGTTCTGCGCGGTGTTTAGCAATCGAAGACCATGTGTAAAGATCCTGTTCAGATATATCATCCAAATTTTTGCAGAGTCTAAAGCTATACAAAGAATTCTTGTGCCCCACAAAATTATTTTGTTGATGTCTAACCATCGACATAATATTAGGAGATAGAGCCTTTGGAAGGTATTTAGATCATGAAGGTGGAGTCCTCAAAGACTGAGATTAGTACCCTATAGAAAAGGTTCCAGAGAGCCATCTTACCACACACATGCTGAGAAGATGCTGTCCAGAGGCCAGGAAGTTGGGTCTCACCAGCCTGAGAGTTTGCTGATGCTTTCATGTTAGACATCAGAGCCTCCAGAAGCATGAGAAAATATTTTCTGTTGTTTATAGCCTGTTCTGCTTCTGGTATTTTGTTATATTTACTTAAATGGATTAGAACCCTGTTCCCTGAAAGTCCAATAGTAATTTACATTTTTGGAAATGCAGCTGATTAATAAACTAAAGTTGTACTTTAAATTATTTTAGCATGTAAACTTAAAAAAAAACATAAACTAGAAGAAAAGCAAACCCATTGCTCCTTTGTCCTAATAACGGCCCCCACTTTTCTCCTTCAGCTCATGCTCAGGCTGACTTCACTGCTGCGAGAATCCCCGTTGCCTCCCGTGTTTATTAAACTTCTTTCTAGAGTCTGTGAATTGGTTTAGAACCATAATTTCCTTTCAAAGTTTTACTTTATAGCAGATAACAAGTCTGAATGAACTATAAAGCATAAGAAATTAAAGTATGATAATTCTCATATCTACATACATTTACAAAACAAGTTTAACATAAAAAGAACATACTTAATTTTTTATTATTTTATGCATATGGATGTTTTCCTCAAATGTATGTGTGCCCCATGTACATGCAGGGCCTTGGAGGCCAGAAGAGGGTATCAGATTCCCTGTGACTAGAATTACTGACAGTTGTAAGTGATGGCTGGGAACAGAACCTGGAAGAAGAGCCAGTGTGCTTAGCTGTCGAGCCATCACTCCAGCCCTGAGCATACATTTTAAAATAAGAGATTATTGCCAGTAGAGACCAAGAAATAAGTTTCTTAATTATTGAATAAATATATTTGTTGGAAAATGAGAAATGATATTCATTTCCAATAAAGAGACTGGGTCTTTTTTGCTGAACTCAATATTTGAGATATTTGTTAGTGCTAAACTGACTGACATACCATAGATGAATTCCATAAACAGAGTTATGACCACTTCTACACGTAAGCCAGTAACATACAGAATCTTGTGATACATAGTAGAGGGTAGCGGGAAAGAGGGGGAGAGGGGAGAGAGACAGAGAGACGAGGGTGGGGGCACACACTCGTTTCCAGTACTTCACAGGTACTCTCTGCATGCTATAGAAAACAATCCCTAGATTATTTTCCCTACGTCCGATGGTCATCCAGAAGACACGTCTGCATTACAGAAGCACCTATCTCAAATTATGGGGAAGCCACATACTAAAAACTACCAGCTCAACTGTGGCGTCAAGGACCGTGGCTTGCAAAAGGGACACCCACGGGCTGCAAGTAGTTCCAGCCAGTCCAATCAGATTAGCACAAGCAACAGAGAGTGGTCTAGAACTTAGCCTCGTTCTGCACTAATTTCTATTACAAATAAGGTCATTTGTAAACACACAAGAACTTTAGCTCTGTTTAGTTAAACGTCCCACCTCTTACTACTTATGTTATAAAACCTGCTGCTTAAGACTTCTTCACTAGGAAGCATACTCAGGAGATTTCCCCAGAGAAGATCGCTGGGTTCTGTTCGTACTCTACTCAGAGATGCTCCACTGCTGTCACGTTGAGACGGAAATGTGAAGACTGTGTACGGAATTTAATTGCACATCACATTCGTCGCTCCAAAATCTACAGCCGGGGAGATGAGCTTACGAGCGCTTGCTGCTCTTGTGGAGAACCCAGACTCATTTCCCAGGGACTATAATGGGCTCAAAACTGTCTCTAACTTCAACTCCAGGTGATTTAAAGCCTTCTGGCTTCCACAGTTCTTCAAGCACGTGATGCACACCATACATCAAAACTGTATATATATATATATATATATATATATATATATATATATATATGTATGTATGTTTCAAAGATACTTATGAAAGCAAAAATTTCCTTTCTTGTGGTCTCTCGAATCTACACGTGTATCAGTAAATTATCAAATTTTATTTAAAATAAGGGAAATACAATCCTCCAGAGAAGGATTGTAAAAAGACCCAGTTAATGTGATTTAGAAAAATGTCCTGCCCATTTACATAAAATATTAATACCTTTAAGTTCAAAACAGTGCACACATAGCACATGGGCTTACAAAGGGAAGACACCGAAAAAGGAGCAGCTGAAAGTCATGTGCGGTGGCCATCGTGTGCAGCCGTTGTTGGAAACATGAACACTGCTCTCCCACTCTTCCAGATCAGCACACCACAGCTGTCCCTGTGGCTTCTTCTCATGCAGGATGTATTGTTCTGGGAACACATTTTCTCCAAAAGGTGTCCTAACGCCCCCTTGCAGTAATCCCCATTGTCACCCCAGCCTCGACACCTTCTAACCCTTTTTCTTCTTCAAACACTCTTCGTAGCACCTGCTCCTCCCTGCTTTTGTTTTAAAACATGCCACTTCTTCATGGCTCCTTTCAATAGGATGTCATCGTCAGGCATGCCTGGATTTACCCGGGTGTTCCGTCTTCTTCCCTGCTGTGTGCACACACCTGGTATACGCGCAGCAATTGCTTTAAATGGGCTAGCAATTTCCCCCCACAGAATAAATGTCTCTATGAATAATGCAGTGCTGTTAGTACGATCCCCTCAAAATAAGTGACTAACTTTACAAGGCAGCCACCTTTTTCCTCAAAGTGTCTTACTTGGTTTTTGTATGCCTTAAAAAGCATATTTGAGACTTATGAGTAAGCATACCTAAGATGTTAGCAAATTTTTTAACGATGAATAGAAAATTATACCTGAGAACCGTTCTTAAAGCAGATAAATCAGCCGATAGGAACTCAGGTCCGCCGATGTCCTTCCAGCCTCATATTGGGTCTCGGCTGAGTTTTTGTTATTTCCTTAAATCTCCGGACTTAAGGAGATTTTATCGGTGGAAACAGCCGACTGTCTGATGCCTTCAAAAGAGCAAAGCTGTGTCCCTCCAGTTTCTCCCACTCTCACTCCAAAGAGCCCAGGTGCCTGCCTCCCTGGTTGTGAGGAGATAGTACACAGCTTAGCAACAGAATATAGCATTCCAGGAAATCTAAGTTCCAGAACTCTGTAGCAGCCATTGCTCTCAGGCCTCTAGTTCCACAGCCTCGCTAACATAGCACAGAGCATCTCTTCCCAGCTTCAGGCGTATGGTGGACGTGCTGCAGATCTAAAGAATAGAGAAAAGGGAGAAAGACAGCACGTGCTATGTGACAAAACCAGCTCGCTGAACAGCGATGGCTGGTGGGATTCTGGGATGGCCTCCCAGTCATAGTGAAAGGATGCCATTTGATTGTCAGAGGTGGGAAGAGGAGGTCTTAAGGGATGGTTGAGGAAAAGAGGATAATAGAGTACCCATAACAGGAAAGAGGAGGGCCCAGAGAGCAAGGAAGGGGCGGGGCAGGAGAGGGGAGGGGCATGGTGGGGAAAGGGAGGATGGGAAATAAACAAAAGCAAGGTACATATTAAAGAACTCCACAGTGAAACCCATTACTTTATATGTATGGTTGAAAATAAATTAAGGAGAGAGATAAAATTGAGGAGAAGCTGGGCGTGGTGACTCATTACTATAAGTCCAGCCTTTGGGAGAATTAAACAGAAAGATTGCCATGCGTTCAAAGCCAGCCTGGGCTACAGAGCAAGACTCTATCTGAAAAATCAAAATGACAACAAAAAATGAGTAGAATTCCTAGGAGGTCTAGCAAGCTTTATCAGGCGTGATTAGCGAGTTTTAAAACATTAGCTGGGACCATTAACAGCAAGAAGTGCAGCTCTCGTGTTCCCGAGCTCCTCAGAAACAGCATTTTAACTCTTTACCGTTTACTGTCTTGTAAAGTGCTCACTCCTCCTCACCCCTTTCACCTCCTCACCCGCTCCACCATCCTTGCCGTGACATATTCATAGAATTGGCAGCATACTGTTCTTTCAATTAACCTCTCAACCCGTGAGCTAAACATACTTTTTTTCTTTGTAAGTTAGCTGGTCTCTTACATTTTATTATAGCAACATGAAACTGACTGAGGCATAAAATACATTAAGAATGTTTATCTGTGTAGCATAAACAATTCAACTGTGTTGTGGGGTATCCACAAGAGAAGACTGCTCAGACATGGGTTTAAGCCAATAGGAAGTCTTTATTAGGAAGCCTACAACCTACACAAGTGTTTGGGATCCCAATGTAGCTCCAAGCCCTTCTTAAGGTAAGCTTTTAAGCACAAAAACCATGTCCTGGTTGACATACTTCGGTTAACAAGGACAGTTAGCCAGAAGCAGAACCTCAGAAGCCAAAAAGCAAGGTTAGTACATTTAGTAACTTTCCCAGAATTATGGCCTTTGATGGATTAGTGATGCTGTCTCTGTGCTGAGTTTTACAGCCTGAATGGTACTTTTATCATGGAGTCAGTCGTGCTAAGGTCTGGGGGCCTACTAAGGTCTAGTGCCTGCTACAACTGGAAAACAGATGAGGGTTATACACAGGAATTTTACAAAAGCAAAACTATGGACATGCATAATAAATAGGTCTTCATTGGTGACTAGAAATAAGCAAACTGAAACTATCTTATACCATCAGAATTCTGGAGTATGTGTAGACCATGAGAACTCACATCTGATATTAATAAAATTATAACTTAGTACAAACTCCTAAATCCAGCTTGACATTCAGAGAGTGTTGAAAGCCAAGAAACTCTACCTCAGCTTCAACACTTATAGTCAAGCGCAAAGCCATTCACAATTCACAGATACAATCTCTTCCCAGAAGGCAAATCTATTATGGGATACATAGCTATAGGATTCAATAAAAACTACATCAATAACATGTTTAACATGAATGCATTTGAAAAAATATGTGAAAAATAAGTTGAAGAGTTTGTGAGAATTTAACAGAAATATAAGAAGAATATTTGTAAAATTATTTGCAAACACATAGTGTCTAGTGAATCTACTGGGAAAAAAAAAACTCAAAATTTAAGATGATGATTCCCTGGGAAGGGAAAGAGAAAGCAGTGACAGAGGGGCACAGAGCACAGATTGCTGAGCGGGGACATCGAGCATAAGCCAAACAAAACACGCAGTCTATATGCAGACATATTTTTCTCATAGATTTTGCCACAAAATGACCTTCTGTGGACGTTCTTGTACTATTAAAAATTGGACTACCCTATTTTAATTAATATTTTAGTTGACATAATTTGATGTTTTTATAGTGCACACAGGGTGGCATTGTTACACCACATGAAGTGATCAATGATCCCAGGACAATTAACATACCTACCAGCTTAACTTTTTAAAATTACGTTTATTTGATTATTTGATGTGTGAAAGTGTGTGTGTATGTGTATACAACTGAAGGAATTAGTTCTTTTTTTCTACCAGGTGGGTCTCAGGGATCAAACTCAGATCCTCAGGCTTGGTAGCAAGCACACTTAACTGCTGAGCCATCTTGACAGCTGGATTTACTGTGTGAGCTCCTGTGATGAGACCATCTGACTTTTTTTTTTTCCTTTGAGACAGGATGTCATTAGATACTCTCGCCTGGCATGAAGTTTGCGATATAGATCAAACTGGCCACAAACCCGCTGCATGCTGTGATTACAGGCGTGTGTTACAACACCTGGCTAAAAGAACATGAACATTATTTTGGACACATAGAAACTAAAGCTTTCTCTATCTCCTCCGCTAGGTTCAGGTCATTTTCTAGCCATTTGCTATAAGCCCTGTCTGTCTTGTTGTGTCCTTTTGTGTTCTGTTTCGTTTTGTTTGTGGTCCTGGGATCAAACACAGGTCCTTGCACGAGCTGGGAAAGTGTTCTGTTCCCAAGCTGCATCCACAGCAAACACAAGCATCTTTGAAGTTCTAGGACTTTCAGGCAGGATCTCACACATGCTGGGCAAGTACTTGATCATAGCTATATTCCTTGAAATTTTAAACTAGACACTTCAATAATTCAGAAATAGCTATGGAAAATAAAAATTAGGTGTGTGTTTCCTGTGCGTGTGTGTGTGTGTTCGAGCGATGTGCGCGCTTTGCGTGCAAACATGCATATGTACATAACATGGCTAATTCCTTCCTAGTGTTCCTAATTGAAACTCAAAAAGCATGAACAGGTCCTTCAGGGTCACACAGTGAGGACCTGGCCTGTGCCCAGACTGGCTGAGTGATCATGTTTCTTACCTGAGCAAAAGGAGCCCACAGCGGCGAGGTCTCTGGCGCTCCAGTGAGGAAAAGTGGGATGAGCAGCCTTGCTCTGGGGCGAGCTTCCAGTTTGCTTCTTAGGACTCAATACGGAGCGGTTTTTTGTTTGTTCGTTTGTTTGGTTTTGGTTTTTTTCACACCTCTTCTCATGTTAAGAAGGGGTTTTCTTCACTGGGAGAAGAACCACTATTCAAGTGTCGGTTTAATCGCCCTTCTCTTCTGTTTATTCATCCCTTCAATGATCCCATGGAGTTAACTTACGTAAGATGTGCCTAGAGAGGATCGGGGAGATGGCTCTGTTGGTACAGTGCTTGCCACACAAGCATGAGGTCACGAGTTCAGGTCCTCGGCACCCACATAAAAAGCCAGGTGCTGAATAGTCTGCCTGTAATCCCAGTGCTGCCGGTAGAAGAGGGAGGATCCAGGGGCTTGCTGGCCGGCGAAGAAATGTAGAAATCTAGATTTCTTCTAGAAATTTCAGTCTAGAAATCTGTGAGCTCTCCCCTCTATGAGACTTTTGTGTCAGAGATAGTGTAGAACTTTCCACACGTGCTGCAACCCACCTTCAAGCATAGCAGATCCACCCACCCCTCGGGGGTGTGGCGGTGGCTGGTAGGCAGCACAGCAGAGCAAGGACCAGGCTATGGTGATTGCACAGGGGTCACCCGGGCTCAAAGCTGGCGCTATTTCACTATTGATCTTCCAGATCGTCGCCTCTGCCTTTAGGCTACGGATTTGGAGCAAGCACACACATTAGTAGCTTAAAGTGGAGTTTGAATCTGCCATCTGAAGACAGGAAAACTAACAGCTTAGACCAAAAGTATAGTGACTTTCTGTCCCCGACTTTGCAGGGAACTTAGTAAGAATGGGCTTTGACCAATACTTTTTTTCTTTTCTATGTTTAGTAAATTTTTTAATTGATCAAAACACAAAATTAAAGTGGAGAGTGGTTGAGGAAGATTCCCAGCATCGACCTCAGACCTCAACACATATGAGTACGTCTCCTTGTGCTCATGCGCCCCCTGCACATCTCCTGTGCGCATGTGCCTCCTCCACCCGTGCACACGCCGAAATGCACAAAAGGGAAAGAAATATGTGACTAGAGAAAAGATAGGAAAGGGGCACTGCCATTCATGCTCATTAAAAACAACAGCTGCTTTCTGAGGTGCTGTTCATCTTCGCTTCGAGTCTGTAAATTGAAATTGACCACTAGGTGGCAGAAACCGGCTATAGTACGACAGACAACATGGTCCAAGACTAGGATAGAGAGGAAGCTTCAGGAGGCAGATCCTGCTGTGGTCATTCAATTCTATAAATGATAAACCTTCATCTCAGAGACTTAGGTGTCAATGAGAACATATGTCCAGGCCTCCCAGTAAGCTACTGGGCCACCATAATTGATGGCCTCCACTAGTGGACAGACGCTTGAAACCAGGATGGCCTTTTCTTAGAATTTCCCTCCGCGCTGTTCTGTTTCCTGTTCATTGAGGTTGAGCTGTGATTGTTTCTGAGACTCAGGATGTGCAGAGTGAACAGCTAGTTTCCACGAGAATGCCTAAAAGGTTCAGAAGTGCTAGAGCAATCTAAGCTAACTATTGACTCCTGGGAAGGGACGTTCTCAGTCCTGTGGGTAACAGAGAGTCTCTTAGGGATGTTTTTATAGGAGATTCTCCAGA